GAAACAGCAGGGTACGAGCGGAAATGCGATGTTTTTACTTTGCCGGATAAATACGTAAAAAATTAAAAGAGCGGATTTGGTCTTCGAAAGTAGCCTAAATCTGCAGAGACAGCGGAGATAACAAGAGAAAGATGTTTTGGAATTTATTTTCATATAAGGCAAAGAAGGGAAAGCTCGTTTGCTTGTAGAAAATGATTTGGGAGGTAGCGCGGTTTTGTTAGGAAAATTTGATGACGTCACCTGTAGTCATAAAATATGCAACACTATCTACTTTATAATAATTTGCGCGGATTAACGAGGAAAACGTAATCTGTAAGTCTCTGCTTTTAAGATAACTGCAAAGTAGCTTACGCATTTTAACATCCGTAGAAACAGTCTATTATTCATAGAGGCAGTGAAAATTTCTTAATAACTCTAAGGACGCGCGGTGGAATAAATCATAATAACGGTAATCTTGGCAATAGTGTGAATGAAAAGGAATGTTCCTCGAATACGCGCACATCAATACGTTGTAAATATGAAATGATGGTTAAAGAAATGCCTTTTATGTCTTTGTAAAACAAATCGCATTACCTACTAGAGAAATATACATAGAGCGACTACTATTAAAGTTGCCGTATTCAACTTATGTACCTATTATAAAGTTAGTGTGTAGAGTAGCGCGTATCAAAAAAAATTTTGTAAAACTTTTAACGCTCGAATTTATTAAAATATAAAATGTTAAGACAGCGCCTTAGCGCAACACATAAAACAGTGTGAGTAGTAAGGTGACTCAAGGGATGAATGTTTCACGCTGTCATACCACCATATTATAATATGATATAAACTCTTCATTCTCAGTTATCTACAAGCACGTCAAGGTAAAGGCATAATGCAACAATTCCAACCGAAACTATTTGCTCCGGAATTGTGCGAACCATTATGCTCACTCTGTTATAACTCTAATACACACATATAAATAATTTGAATAACACAGATTATTTTCAGCACGGTACTAACTTTACTAGGGATATTACCCTGTTAATGCATATACTGCGTATACTAACTAGATATGCAAGATTTTACCGGTTCCGGAACCTGTTCTGCTCATTTCAGATTAAAACTTAAAAAAAAAAACTAGAGTTAAAAAACAAGAGCTGCGCTAAGTAAACTTGCAGAATAATTTTAATAAATGACTTTTCTGATATTTCGTAATATACAAAATATTTTACCAAGTAGCAAAAGAATTTCTTTTACAATTTTTTGAAGCACAAATACGAGTAAAATGCTTCATACTTCTTTCTCTTAAAGTCAGTTTACAACTTCAAATAAAATAAATTGGTGGTTTGAGTTTTATAATTTAATATACCATATACTTTATATTTTCAAATTAGAATAATATTTTAAACCACAAGATGTAAGCTGTGTTATTTGAAGTTATAACAAACATTTCTAGTTATACTGTTTTGAATATGTACTTTTAATTGATTTCAATACGGAAATCGTCTTTCATTTATGTCAATTTGTTATTTTAAACGTAAATTGTTACTATCAGATAAGTATTTTTAACAAAATATTTGTTAATTTAAAATATAAAACAAAAAAATCAATAAATTTAACACGATTTCTAATTGAGCAGCAAAGTGCTTAGTCTGTGAATGGTACAGATTATTTAAATTGTTTAGATTTGAGTGTGTGTTTTTCACGAAAATTGACAGATGCTTGTTAGAAGCAATCGGTTTGTTTCTTTTAGCTTGTATAGGCACCAGTCAGGATATTCCTGTCCTATTATTAAACTGAACGATCGGGATTTGATCTATTATGGAGCGATAATCCAGCCCAGACACCCGATATGATTGGTAATGCTTGTTGTGCTGATTTTGTAATCAAGGATCCTTTCTAATAATAATAATTATTGCTGCCGTAATAGCAATATTAATATTAGGATTGAGAAAAAAAAACGAATTGCAGACATTTTCGTGTTATTAGGCAAAATTGACGCAATTATATGAGAAAATTGAGTTTAGTTGAAAAAAGTAAATGTGTCGAAATCTCGTTCGCAAGCGGAATTACTCTTTATCCGACCCTGATCATTCCTGGACGGTTTTAAAAGGACGACAGCCATCACCGTTGACGCCAGTTATATAAATCTAACGGTTTTGGCCGTGAAGTTCCCTCAATGATCGCTTGTAAGATTAATTTTCTCATTGATCGCGCTGGTTCTTAGAACTTGCACACTCAGTCAACACTAACATAAATACTTTTGTAAACTCATAATTTTGTTTACCGTTTCCTCAACTTTTGTTTACTTCTTTACAATCGCATTTTCTTATAAAAACTGACGGGGAAATTTCTTTCAGCTTTATTCCATCACGCGATTTTATCTACTTGAATATCTCCAGATTTGCGGGAAATTTCGAAAAAATAATTAACAAAGAACTGGCTTTACAAAAATTTCATTATTCTCTTAGTCCAGCTAAATCAAACGCAATACTACTGTCCTAATTAACTTCCTTTTGTGATCACCGACAGGGCGTTATTAACCTACCCTGGAAAATACGCAGCATGAATTTGTGCATGTATTATAAACCTCCACAAAACATCAACGATATGCACTCACCTAAAAAATCAGCATTCCGCATGCAAGAAAAATTCTAAAATGCACGCGATTAACACAACTTTCTTATTTTTAACCACAACAGTCGCAACTAACACCAAATCAATACCATCAACAAAATAGCTGAATTCCACACTCAAAAAACACAAAACTACATATTTCAGGTCAAATTTATTCCAAAATCTTGTGTTCTTTCGACGTCAACACTATAGAGCACAACTTAAAGCTTTCTGTCATAACAATATTTTTTATGCACAGAAAAGGGAAGAAATTAAAATAAGTGTAGCTAATCAATTCACGGAAATTTAATTACAATTTTTTCGTAATTAATGCAACCACAATTGTTTTGCGCTTTAGTATGTCTTATATCAACTAAATTTAAAAATTAAATGAGCAGTTGTTCCTATGTATTTAAATATGTATAGCTTTTATGTTGAATATGGCATCTCGCATATGAGAATTTTGTTTAAAACTAATGGTGAGATTAGCGGGTGGATAAAGTGAACAAAGAGAACATACAGAATGAGTAAAGCAACAGATGTAATCTCCTTTAACTGCATTTAACTGAGTGTGACGTACATAAACAGGTACATTTTGGCATATAAAATGGAGATCAAACGATTGACACATCGGAGTGGAAATAAGCGTACAAAGCGTGAATTTAATTTTTGAATTAGTTATGAATAAAACAAATTAGAGAAAAAGGAACGATTTTTATCAGGTGCAGTAAAAAGTGTAGTAAAGTTTAGCGAAGGTATGCTAAGAACACTATCTTTTATGGTGTCGCTATAAAAGTTCCATGTGTATGTGCTGTGTATTATTTTATAAGTTGGTGTACCTACAGCGTGATGAATCTGTGCGGTTTCGTTTAGAATTAGCAATTTAGGTGTGTAAAGTAAGTCGTTAGGAAAGTAGGAAGCCAATGTATAATACAAAATATCTACATTGGAATGCTGATGTAGACTGGGACTACATTATAGAGTCCTATAAAAGTTTAGGGCTGAGGAATTATGTGAGGTGGATGTAATGAGACGAGTTTCATCAGTACTGCGGTGAAATAGTAAAAATTGTGAAATGACATTCAAGGAGTGGGTATCGATTATTTACGACATTGCGACACGTGATGTTCCGTATAATGGGTGTATTAGGAAATAAAGTTCCGATGGCGAAATAAATAATGACAGTTATTCATTAGTTGACGAATGTTTGTCGGTGCGACAGTTATAATTAATTAATGCAGTTTGGAATTAGTGTGATCCCACTTTAGGTCCCAACCGACCTAAAATTCGACAGTAAATAGTAGATTTTTATTTGTTCGCCTTCGTAATATTTATAGCAGGACAACGTGAAACTCTTTAAATATTTCATGTTTTGCGCTCCTGAATGCGTAGCAGTTGCACGGTTACCAACATAAAACTTTTTCATAAGTAACACGCTTGCGATATTTGCTTTGGGGAAGTTTATTGCACTTTTATTATGTGAAAATGAATGAACGTGCTCGAGCCAATAAAACCTCTTTAATAAAATTTCTAAATATATACATATTTGCTCTGAGGAAATTCTGCATCTCCGTCAAGCTAAATTTACGGTTTGATGGATTTCTGTAATCTTTTTCTAGTTGGAAATTAAAAGATGAATTAGTTACGTATTTATACCTCACACAAGACAGATTCAAATAAGTGTCAATATTTCAAACAGAAGTATGAAAAAATGACAAACTGGAAAACTTGTACATAATTCGAGTATATTTTAGGCGCATTGACTGTAATAAATGGCATAAAATGAGAACGTGATATATTTCTCCAGTGTAGGAAATATATGTTTGTGTGTTAATGCGCTGTTTGTGAGTTTTTCGAGATTTTGAGAGATTTTCGAAAGCACGTGCTTATTGAGGTTATTGAGGATTGTTATTTTATCTTGCACTTTTCCAACAACTGAGTTTTTAAATATGTGAGCTGTGAGCTACTGACTTTATCGGGTGAAATGTATGAAAATCTTGCCTGAAGTAGGTATATCATTTCCGCTTAAGTTCTTTTTACCTATGCACATAATTGTTTGAGAAAATCCTCTTTTCTAAATTTGGGTTTATCATTATATTCTTTTTTAACATTTGTTCTAGTCCACATATATTAATATAAATGGCGAGATCCTAACGTTTAATTTGGAACATAAACACGGACCATTGTTTAGGACAAGGAAGAACTCGAAACAATAAAGAATAAAGGAAAACCAGGTTATTTAAGCTTGCAAATTGTAGCCCAAACGTCCGGAAAATATGTCTAATTCCTAAATACTATGTCAAGAAGCGGAATGAAATTACTCATTTAGTGTTTTATAATGAATCGCATTATTTAAAATTTTAATTTTGCGGAGATTATAAAATAATTAGTATATATGGACTTACGATATTTCGCCGAAAGCGGCGAAGGCTTCTCTCAGCGTCTGCGTCTCTATTTCGGGACTCAGGTCTCCGACGAAAATATGGTGGTGCTCTGGAAAGAAAATTACATTAATTATTGAAGGACCAGAAGGCAGAAATGTACACAAAACTAGCAGATCGCTCGGAGGTATAAATTAACCGGTAATCTGGTTTTAGAATAGTCTGATCCTCGACCAACACCATGCACCCTCGCACAATTCGAGCAAGGCTCCCCTTTTTGCATCAATTATGCCCACAGTTTCTAATTCCGCGATTACGCAATGTTTGGGGTCATCAATTAATCGCTACTATTTATAATGCATGCACATTTCGTGCCCTTCCAACCCTACAGAATTTATTCTTTAATTAAAATTTCGCCCTGTTGGAAATGCAGTTGGCGCTTTTTAAAAGCTTATGTGGCGGAGGTCAGCTCAAGTCGGGGTTAAGTCGTTACGACTTATTGTTGGGGCAAGTGCACCGCTAGAGACAAGAGTAACCGCAACTCAAGTCTATGTTCGGGTTGTGTGATCTGATCGGAGTCGGTTTATCGATCTACAGAGCAGCGAACTGCGAAGCGAGGATTATGCCAGGACAAGTTTATCCTTGCGACTGTCCGCCGTCACACATTCCCGAAACCTAAATAAAAATTAATTGGTATGAAAATAACAAATTTGATTATGTTCCAGAAATATCACAACTAGTCTAATATCAGCTTCCATTTTTACTTTTTATAAATCGTTACGGTGAAAATCGGCTATTTTAAAATTCCTGTTTCTTTAGAAATAAATGTATTACTGGCCCGATTGAAACTGGAATTGAATTTTTTGTAAAGACCTTTGTGGGAAAACCACTTTTACTCCCGTTTAATTTGAATTTAAACAACTTAATAAGTTTCAAAACAATTTTCTCTCTACGTGAGAATTAATTATCTTTTTTAAAATTAAAACCAATTAATGTCCAACTATCAACGTAACATATGTACTCACCTCCGGCAACGACCTTATTGACTTTTCAATTATTTTATCTGTTTACTCTACTTTGAAAATGCAACTTCAAAAGCATTATATCCGTTATAAACTACCATTTTCCATAATTGTCTTTTACACACAACGCTAATAAAAAATGAAAAAAATATAAAAATTGCACTTTGTAATTAATGAATTAGGTGTAGGTGGAAAGAAAATAAGGAAGTTAAATGAAGTTTGTCTTATCTCTATTCATAACACTCTTTCTGAATGAAGGACTAAAAAAACTGTTTCATTGCGTGACTCGTGAGACCATTTATAATAAAATTTTCAAATTTTGCCACGACAGTGCGTAAACTGTCATAGTTTGCCCTAAATCTAATGATAAGAAAATTACAAATCGTCAGCGTTTGTTGAAAGCTTAATACACACTACTTCACCCTACCAACAAAATTGTGGCATCTAATACAAACACATAAAAAATGATAATTCTTTTAAGTAGTTATATTAACCAAAAATAGAATAAAATGTTAATCAAACATTTCTAACAGTCTACCATAGAAAGCTGGTTTTAATGACAGTTATCACCTTCTGTAAATTGTAAATGAATAAATAATAGTATCTCCAAATCTCAAATCTAGCTAGAGTTTATTCTAAAAAGTCAACATTATAAACTGTTTCCGACTACAGTTAATTAGAGCGTGTTTTTTATCCGCAAATTTTTTGACCATTGCATGTTTATGTTTTTAATGATAAGATTAAAACAATGAGTCATATAACGTTCTTATTCTTGTTCTTGTACTTAGGTCGTTAAGTACGTTTTGTTACAACATGTTATTACGATAGTGTTGTTTCTTATAAAAATACTTTGGTTTAATAGGCATAAATTTCTTATAAGTTTCGGAAGATAATGTTGTAATAATGCATTCATGTCTAATGACTTGCTGATTACCGGTGTTCTAATTTTCAAATATTTTGTGCTAAACACATTTGTTCGTATTTTTATAGCCAGTTTCAAGTGTTTTTTTGCTACCGAAGACAAGATAAATATTCGCGAACGCATTCCACTTAACTTTGTGCGATATTTGTCACCAAAAACTTTTTCCTGTAGATAAAATCAAACTATTTTCCAATAACCACGATTATGGTCCGTTATTCAGAAAATATTTGCTTTGGTTGCTTCCAATTGCTTGATTTTAATTGGACCATTAGTCATGAAACAAATTTCGTTTTCCTATAACAAAACTTGTCGATCACCTCAATAAATTACAACATAGACAGTAGACTATATGGTTCACTACAGAAATGACAAAGATTGATTGCTAAATTGACAACTATCTGCAAGGAAGTAATTGATTTGATTATTAACAAAGTTGAACATATAAATAACGATTGTTGTCTTTTCAAAAACGACACTGATCGAACACTCATTACTCAGTTTTGTTAATTACGTTATAAATGTTATACACATTGATTTGTGAATAATCGCTTTATCAATTAATTGTTGTGCTTTAAATATAATATACTATAATGTATTGATAATGCACAATTGTTGTTAACTCTGGTATATAAATATTTTGCTAACATTGTTTCAGGGCTGAATTATCCACGTAGGTCCAAACCGGTTTTAACGTAAACCGGTTTCCAGTTACGATTATTTCCTAAACCGGTTTGGTATGTTTTAAATAAATTAAGTGTAAGCGCAAAATTATTTAGTTGGCATGTCGTTAATTCATCTTTGGGTTTACTGTTAAATCCGTTAATTCCGTATCTAGCTCCTAACTCTTAATTATTATTCACTTCTCTATGTAAACATAAAGATTAAGCTATTGCAGGCAAGTTTCTCATCTGAACAAATTGAGTCGCTGGATTCAATAATGTGTAGTTCTTTGTAAAATAATTGAATTGGGCATGAAAGTGGTGATGGTTGTGCGATTAATTCACTCATTGTTGGTAACAAAGGTTTTTAAATCGTTGTATGCAAAATTTGTGTATATGCAAAATTTTCTCATATGCAAGAAATAAACAAGCAATTTCCTTAGCGGCACATTTTAGCAAAACGTGTCCAGAGCATGTATACAGAATGATGGGACGATGGACTCGTTGTTGATACAGTAATTGGCGGCTCGTTGTCGTGTCCGCAACCAAAAGCTCCAATGGCTTCCAATATTTGAAATGCGAAGGAATCTTGTATGCAAAATTACATTCTGCTTTTCGTTCTCTTTTTCCTCCGGGTTTTCCTTCCATTCAAGCCGGTTTTCTTTAATTCCAGAACAGTGGGCCGTATTAATTCTTTGTTTTTAAAGAAAATGAAAAACGATTTCCGGTTAATTCTTGTAATTATGTGTTGTTTGTACATTAACTTTACAAAATGCTGTTTTTATACGAAAAAGAGGAAATTTTATTAGGTTTTAATGAAAGTTTTGCTCGAACTAGGGACTTGGCTTTTCTTCCTAAATTATGTAATTCGTTAAATGAGGTTTAGAATTAAGGCAAGTCGCATTAGTTTTTACTCGGTGGATTTTTTTCTCGAGCCTTTATCTCCCCTTCACTACCACAAAAAATTTAATTATTTAAATAACTTCATTCCCCATTAACTATCGCATATTCAAATAATCATTACCAAGCCTAACTTTATACCGACCTCAACTTCGATTAAAACTCTTCCCGCAAAATATCCTTGCCTTATTACCATGACCTGATTTGACACAAGTGTTGCCTTTGTAACCAAACTCTACTAACTACTTTTGCTACTTTTTTGTAAATTAAATTCGTTAGTAATAAGTTAGGAAACAGATTCAAAGCATATTCTAAAAGACGAAAAAGAATTAAAAATACTATTTTAGAACTGAATAAAATTGAATATTAATAAAAATAATAAAATAATTTATAAGAATAATTTGAATAATCGAATTAAAGTTGTTGATATATTTTTTGTCTAAATAAAAAAATAAGCATTTCAGTTATAATAGTAATAATAATAGTAAGTACACAATCGTGTTTTTTGCTTTCCTATTACCCAATCTCCATATTTCCCCAATTTTACTCAATACCAATAGTATGCATGCAACATCGTCTAGATTTTTCCCGTTTCTTTTTCGGTTGGTTTCCGTTCTAAAATATGTTTCGCTCATCTCTTTCTTTTAAGTTGTTACTTCTCTTTTTTATCAAGTTTTATTTTTTGGTAGTTTTCATTTCTAATTCTGTCTTGGATCTCTACAACTTTTGCTCAAGAAATCTATTTCAAAGGCTATAAATTTATCTCGTCGGTTTTTGTAAACTTCTCATGTCTCTGTTCCATATGTTGTTACACTTTGGATCATAGCTGAATAGATCCTTTTTTCTATTTTCCGTTCCTATCGCGAATTAAACATATCGCTCTTGAATTTTTTCGAATTTTAGGAATTAAAAAACATTTCAATAATATTTAAATGTGGTCCATGTTTGTCAACAACAGCAAAAAAAGAGAGATTTGGCACAAACCGTTTATAAATGCATCGACACGAATAAGCTGTAAAAATTGCTTATAATTGTCGAGTTCTAGGCCAGAGATGGATTTTTGTTTGAGCATTTCTTTGGCGATGTTAAGCGGCAATTAAATTTCTGTCGAGTTTGCGTTGGGCAGCGCCGGAATAGCCATGCATGCTGTGTATTAGGTTTATTTGTTCTGACTTGGTCTCGTATCGTAGACGACGACCGCTTTGGCGACGGCAGCCAAGAATGGGCACACAGCCAGACTACCGGACCAATCGTGTGGCATACATTAGAGATGTAGTATCTTTATATACGAGCAAAAGGAACAATTTTATAGATGCACTTAAATCCAGCTTCAATTTATTTATTTTTTATATGGCCCGCCTCGCATTCACGACCTCTGACGCTTAATTGGCCGACCAGATGACAATCCACAAAAATTATTATTTAAAATAACCGTTTCAAAAATACCAAACCGTAAAACTTCTATAAAGCATTAACAAAATCATAAAAAAAACAAAAGTTTATCTTATTTGAATACTTGATTTATTTGAGTTGTGTTTTGAAAATTTCGAAATCTCAAAATATATGCTTCTCTTGTTATTAGCGTTGAATTAAGGGCAGAACTCCCAGC